CATCCAGCTTTCACTGGACCAAGGATCTCCTCTCCCACCTATGCTGACAAGGCCATCCTCACCTACTTATACAGCTGGAAGTCATGAGTCCCTCCCTTTGTGCTCCTAGGCTGGTGGTTTAGATCCTGGGAGCTCTGGTTGGTTGATTTTGTTGCTCTCCTCATGGGACCACAAACCCTTTCAACTCCTTCAGTCTTCTCTCTAACTCCTCCATTGGGAACCCCATGATCAGTTCAATGGTTAGCTGTGAGCATCCACCTCTGTATATGTCAGGCTCTGGTAGACCTCTAAGGAGACAGCTATATCAGGCTTAACACTGCTTTCATTTGTCCCATATGTTTGTGTATGTTGTGTCTTCATTTTCATTGAATTTTAATTTTTTTTATTTCTTCCATGACCAAGGTATCATTGAGCAGAGAGTTGTTCAGCTCCCATGAGTATGTGGGCTTTCTGTTGTTATTGAAGTCTAGCTTTAGTCAGTGGTGATGTGATAGAATGCAGGTGTTTTCCCAATATTCTTGTGTCAGTTGAGGCTTGATTTATGTCCAATTATATGGCCAATTTTGGAGAAGGTTCTGTGAGGTGCTGAGAAGAAGGCAAATTCTCTTGTTTTGGGGTAAATGTTCTGTAGATATCTGTTAAATATATTTGGTTCATAACTTCTGTTAGTTTCAGTGTGTCTTTGCTTAGTTTCTCTTTCAATTACCTGTCCATTGGTGAGAGTGAGGTGTTGAAATTCTCCCACTATCATTGTGTGGGGTTCAATGTGTGTTTTGAGCTTTAGTAAAGTTTATTTTACGAATATGGGTGCTCTTGCATTTGGGGCATAGATTTTCAGAATTGAGACTTCCTCTTGGTGGACTTTTTCTTTGATGAATCTCAAGTGTCCTTCCTTATCTTTTTTGATAAGTTTTGGTTGAAAGTCAATTTTATTGGCTATTTAGAATGGCAACTCTAACTTTTTTCCTGGGACCATTTGCTTGGAAAAGTTTTTTTTCCAGCCTTTTACACTGAGGTATTATCTGTCTTTGTCACTGAGATGTGTTTTTTTTTGTTTTTTTTTTTTTTTTTTTTTTTGTTTTTTTTTTTGTATGCAGCAAAATGTTGGATCCTGTTTATGTATCCAGTCTGTTAGCCTGTGGTTTTTAATTGTCGAATTCCTTCCATTAATGTTGAGAGATACTAAAGACAGATGATTTTTTAGTTTCTGTTATTTTTGTTGCTGGATGTAGTGTTATATGAGAATGATTCTCTTCTTTTGAGTTTGTTCTGAAATGTTTAGTTTCTTATGTTTTCTTGGGTATAGTTACCCTCCTTGTGTTGAGGAATTTGTTCCAGTATCCTTTGTAGGGATGGAGTAGTAGAAATATACTGCTTAAGTTTGGTTTTGTTGTGGAATATCTTGATTTCTCTATCTATGATCATTGAGATTTTTGCTGAATATATTATCCTGGGTTGGCATTTGTGTTCTCTTAGGGTCTGGATGACATCTGTCCAGGATCTTCTGGCTTTTAGAGTCTCAGTTGAGTAGTCTGGTGTAATTCTGACCAATCTGCCTTCATATGTTACTTGGCCTTTTAACCTTATTCTTTCTTTGTTCTGGGAATTTAGTGTTCTGGGAATTTAGTTGTGATCATTATGTGACAGGAGCATTTTCTTCGCTGGTCCAATCTATTTTTTGTGTCCTGTAGACTTCTTGTACATTTATGGCTATCTCTTTCTTTAGTTTGGAAAAGTTTTCTTCCATAATTTTTTGAAGATGCCTTTTGGTCCTTTGAACTGCAATTCTTCACCCTCTTCTATTCCAATTATTGTTGGTTTGATCTTTTCATTGTGTCCAGAATTTCTTGGATATTTTGGGTTAGGAGCTTTTTATACTTTGTATTTTCTTTGACTGATGTGTCAATATCATCTATGGTTTCTTCCACATGTGAGATTCTCTCTTCTGTCTCTTGTATTCTGTTGGTAATGCTTATATCTGTAGCTTCTGATCTCTCTCCCAAGTTGTCCATCTCTAGGGTTGCCTCCCTTTGTGGGTTATTTATTTATTTTTTTTTGGTTTCTATTTCTATTCTTAGTTCTTGGACCGTTTTGTTAAATTCCTTTACCTGCTTGATTGTAGTTTCCTGTATTTCTTTAAGAGATTTATTTGTTTCTTCTTTAAGAGCTTCTATTTGTTTGTCTGTGTTTTCCTGTATTTCTTTAAGAAAGGTCTTTATATTCTCCTTGAAGACCTCTATCATCTTCATGAGATGGGATTTGAGGTCATTTTCTTGGTTGTCAGTCATGTTAGGGTATCCAGGGCTTGCTGTGGTGGGAGAACTGGGTTCTGATGGTGCCACATTGCATTGTGTTATTTAGCTTATGACCTTGTGCTTGCCTGTGCCCATCTGGCTCTGTTTGATATTAACTGGAATGGATGTCTCTGACTGGAACTGGCCTCCTTGGAAGCAGGTAGAACTCTGTGACCTGAGTTAGAGCTGGTCTCCTTAGAGGCAGGCACTCTTGCCTCTGGCTAGGGTAGGCCTCTTGTGTCTCTAGTTAGAGCAGGCCTCCTGCACCCCTGGTTACTGTGGATGTCCTGTGCCCTTGTTTACTGTGGATCTCCTGGGAGGCTTTCAGGCTTGTAGCATTTGGGTGGTTATCAGGCTGCTAATCTGGCCCAAGTGAGAAAGTGGGCCAGAAGAAAGGTGGACTTCAGGGGTTGGGGTTGGGGGAGCTGGGTCCTAAGTCAGCTGGGCCTTGTGACTGTCCCAGCTGGCATGGATATTTGTCCTAAATTCTCACCGGTGTCTTTGGTTACCATGGACCTCCTGGGAGGCAAGCAGGCTCTAGTGTTTGGGTGGGTATCACATCTGGTCTGGGTGGGGAAGGAAGTGGGGTTACATATTTTGATTATCATGAATTATTATGATCTAGGGAAGGAGTGCAGATAAATTTTGGGCATAATTTCTTTCATTTATTTTGGGTTTGTGTTGATTCAAGGCTACTACAGTATACCTACTGTACTACTCTATAGCTCAGTAGTTGTTCTGAGGACAACCACATGAGAGCTAATGTTTACACAATGCCTGTGTTGACAGTCCCTGCCTGGAACAGTGTGGAAATGATTGTCAACCTGTGCATCTTCCTGTTTCTCTGATGTTGGTCTTTTTAATAAAAGTGAGGTGGCTTCTCATCTGGGTTTTAATATTTGTTTCTTTAGTGATTAGTGATGCTGAACATTGTTTCACTGACAACTGTCATTTGCATATCAGTCTATGAATAAATATGCCCAGGTTATTTGGCATTGTTTTAATTGGGTTTCTTACTGTGTTTCTCTTTATTGTCTTATTTCCTACTATACTTTGGATGTTGCACAGTTATTAGATACGATGTGTTTACATTTGACTAGATCATGCCATTCTTCTTATTCTCTTGTCCCCTTTCTTGTAAGAAAGCTTTTAAAGTTTGATTTACTCTCATTTGCTTATTTTTGCTATAAATGTGTATCCTTCTTGGGTCATAGCCATAGAAATGTCTTTTCAAGTAGTGTTTCAGAGATTTTGTACCGTATTTCCCCACCCTGTTTTATAGTCTGAGTTTTCATATTGACATCTTCAATCTATTATTTGTTCATTTTCTATATAATATTCAATAAGGGGCCGAAACTGAAACATAGGATTTCATCTTGTGAATGGCTGGGTTAAAGGCTGCATTGAATTGTTGGATCATCATATGTCTATGATTACAATGAGGATATTAGCTAGAAAACAATTAGATTCTAGTGCTATACTTGAAGTAGGTGGAGTTATTCTGTATCTACCTTATGAAGTCTTTGTACATATAAAAAGGCTAGCCTTTACATGGACCATCCTGAAGCTGGAAACATGGAACCCCTAAACTCAGGCCCCTAAAATCAACTGCTAACCACTTGTGAGAAAAACTAACTTTCTTTGGGTAAGTAAATGGTGATTGCCGTGTTTTGGTAAAGACTTTGCTCATCTTGGCTTTGCTCAGGACCTTTCCAGCTCTTCTGTACTTCAGTATATATAGTGAGCCTCTACTTCTAACTAGTGCATCAAGGTGAGTCACACAGTATTACTCATGAGGATGCACACTGTCTTCAAAAACACTGTTCTCATTTCCTGACTTATAGAAGATAATTTGAATAGAATGAATGGGAGTGAAATTTAAGAAGAGTGTTGTAGCTGTTTTCCTAAAATTTGAATCAGATCAGATCAAATAATGTAGTTTTTCCTAGTGGGTATTTTTACCTTTAATGTTGTGTGTCAGTGGTATAGGAAAGACTCAAATTCTATGTGTGGTTATTAGGATGACATCAAAGCCCAAAGTTCTCACTATTAACAAGGTAGCAGTATCTGTTTTCCCTTTCACATTAGCACACAGAATTACTCTTACTCTCTGCTCACTGACACTGGGAGTCTCCTATGTATAAAGTCTTTTCAGATTCATGTGAGAAACAAGTTAGTGGATTAAAAGTATAAAGCTATCAATATCTCTGAAGAGTGTTGCAGGAGTCATTTTGCTGGTCCCAACTTGAGGTGAGAATGGTGGTCATTGGATTCAGAAATCTAAATACAATGATTATAATTGGATCCAAAGAGGTCATGTGCCTTGTGACTGCAAGGAAACTGAAAATATGAAGGAGGTGGCAGGGTGGTTGTGATGGCTTGATCTCAACAAGCTCTGACTGTATAAACTAATTTTAGGTAGAAGTGGCTCCATGCTCCTGCTCTGTCCTCTTGCCAATGAGGTGAATTTCTATTCTGACAAGATGGTGTTCAATAGGGTATTTCTAGAAAAATTAAATGGAATGCTGTTCGCTTAATTCTTGGCCATATTTCTACTTTATCAGATGGGGATTTAGCCTGCCTTGTCCTTTACTGCAGGTGTCCTAAAATAACCCACATTTTCTTAACTCAACATGGATGTATAGATGGTTCATTTTAGTATGAAGAATCTACACGTCAGAGTGTTTTCCTTTATTATAGCAATGGTTACACCTTCTTCCTTGGAACTCTGATATACAAAAGGCGTTTTTGGCAACACTTGCCTCTTCCATCATAGCATGTGCCAACCTCATCTTGAAAATATGGGCAATGGATGGTGTGGCAGGTGTTTTTCTCTTGAAAACATTTTATTGAATCAGCACCAGAAACTGCAAGAAAATGAGAAACAAACCTCCTCAGACTATTTGCTATAGCTGTAGTCATTTTTAGCATGTTTGTGCAAGGTAGGAGAGTTCTACACTAAGTATATAGAAAACACATTGAGCATTTTAAGAAAAAAATTGCCACAATTCATGTTTAAGACCACTAATAAAACATATTTGCTCTGAATTCAATTACCAAGGAGATTGCCACTGCTCAATAGCCATTTAGATTATGGTTATTACATTGGAAAGAGCAAATGGAGGATACTTTCTTTTCTATTCATTTTGAGACAAGTCTCACTCTATAGGCCTCACTGGCTTAGAATTCATTATTTAGATCAGGCTGGCTCTGACTCATCCTCTTAAATGTTGAGATTAAAGGAAGAACCATGATCTCTAGCTGGAGAAAATTCACATCACCACAAACTCATCAGTGGGACAGTGGTGCCATGGTGGTGGGAGGAAGTGGAGCGACACTCTGCTTTCTCCATCTCAGAACTTTCTCAGAGAAGCATCACTGCCTAACCCACTCTGAACACTAAATCCATCTTCTTGAGTTCTGTCTCATAGCCTTTCTCTATATTTTGGGGGTCTGGCTTCTCTTGTGTATGATCGTTGAAAGAGCAATGCCTTAAATCTAACCTTGGCCTCTACAGTGATCATCCCCAGTCAGACCCTCCAGAGGTGAACATTTCCAGGTTTTGTTTCCTTTTGTGGTGCTGTTGGATGCTGGCATGACTCTAAGAGAAAGCTTCGTGTATTCTGTGTTTCCTGGTAAAATACTTGCAGCTGATTGTCTGGTACTAAGAAGAGCAATCAAATCAAGTTTTGAAAGCATGTTGCTGTGTTTGTTTTTCTTAATGGCATCATTAATCTATGTATTGATATATATGTTTCTCCTCTTTGTTTTTGATCAGTTTATTTGTTTTTCATTAATTTATTTTTATTTTTAAATTTTTATTGGTTTTTATTTATTTACATCTTGAATGTTATCCCCCTTCCCAGTTTCCCTTTCAAAAACCCCTTATCCCACCCCTCTCCCCCCTGCTTTTATGAGGTTGCTCCCCCACCCACCCACCCACTCCTGTCTCACTCCCCTAGCATTCCCCTACTCTGGGGGCATCAAGCCTTCACATGACCAAGGGCCTCTCCTCCCGTTGATAAGGGAATCCTCTGCTACATATGCAGCTAGAGCCATGGGTCCCTCCATGTATGTTCTTTGGTTGGTGGTTTAGTCTCTGGGAGCTCTGAGGGGTCTGGTTGGTTGATATTGTTGTTATTCCTGTGGGGTTACAAACCCCTTCAGCTCCTTCAGTCTTCCCCCTAACTCCTCCATTGGGTTCCCTGTTCTCAGTCCAATGGCTGGCTGCAAATATCCACATCTGTATTAGTAAGGCTTTAGCAGAGCCTTTCAAGAGACATCTGTATCAGGCTCCTATTTTTTTTTTTTTAATTGTTACCTTCACAAAATCTAGACAGGAGATGGGCTTCTTTTATACCTATTGGTGATTATCTTGATGTGTTAATTGGTGTGAGATGACCCATTTTAACTGTGGATGGGACCATTCCCCAGGCAGACATCATGGAATATATAAAACAGAGAAACTGAGGAAGCTTGCACTCATTCATTGCTCTCTGATTTTGGACTGTGGCTTATTGTAGTTTCCTTTCCAGTTGCTATGACGAAATATTTTGATAAAAACAACTTACGAGAGAAAGGGCTTAGTTCATAATTACAAGCTACAAGCTTCCATTACAATGACATCAAGGTAGGAGGAACTTTAAGCAGTTAGTAGTTACAATCAAAATCAAAGAGCGGAGGAGAGAGGACAGAAACAGAGAAAGAGACACACGTAAAGAGAGAGTCAGAGAGACAGAGTGGCAGAGACAGAAGCAGCTAGACAGCCAGCTACAAACACAGACACACACATATAATCACACGTGTGTACGTACACACACACACACACACACACACACACAGAGAGAGAGAGAGAGAGAGAGAGAGAGAGAGAGAGAGAGAGAGAGAGAGAGAGAGAACATGAACTTGCATACCAGTGCTTACCTCACCTTCTGCAGTCTTTTACAATTCAGGCCCTACACCAGTAAACAGTGACACTCTTAATGGGCATATCTTCTTATGTTAGTTAATGGAATAAAGACAATGACCTATAGATAATCTAGACAATCTGTCATTGATATTCTCTTCCCATGGCACTCTAGATTGTTTCAAGTAGACAACAGTATGCATCGGGTGGATACAATGTGACCAATGACATTGGCTCCCATTGCCTTGGTTTCCCTGCCACAGTATATCATACACTGAGCTGGGAGATAAAAGAAAGACTTTCTCCTTCTGTTGTTTTTTCTAGAATATTATACCACATCAGAAAAAGAAAGCAAGGCATTGCTAAGCAGAAGAGGTTTAATACAATAGGCTAGTTTCAGAGGGAAGGGAAATCTTGGAATCCAGTTCATTTTCTGTCTCCCTGATCTAATAGATGACAAGTGTGTCCATTGTCTTCACAGAGCACAAAGCTCACAAAGACAGAGCCCAGACCAGGATGGATTCTCCCAGCCCTGTTTCAATTCTCATTCTGTCTAAGCACACTCCTGGCTGAGCATTGCATCCTGCTGCTCCCTAAGAATTAATTTCTGGCTTTTTCTTTACTGAATTGTGTTAATCACAAGAAAGAAATAGCTATAGGCATTTTGTGAAATAATTCAGTTACATCCCGTGTTCCAAATCTCCTTATGCAGTGATGCTGGTTATTCACCCAGCCTGCTTGGGCTGCAGCATCTCAGATTTACCAAGGAAGGGGCTGGATTGATCTCAGCCATTTCTCACATTCTAATTATGATCATTTTACCTTGGTGGACAACTAGTCATTTTTTCCATCTGTTGTTCTCCAAGAATCATTCTCTTTTCCTTTATTTGCAGAGAAACACTGAATCCCAGACAGCCTGAGTGCTTTTTAATTATTCTATGAAAGCAAAGCCATGTTTTGCTGAGCTTAAAATCTAGTTTTCTGAAAAAAAAAACCACTGGAAAGTGTGTTTGTTTTTTTTTTGAAAGTTTATGATGGGTCACTGGACATCAGATGTCTTTCTATAGACTTTAATCCAATAATTTTTAGTGCAAGGAAAAAATCTCTCTTACTGTTATGAAACTTTGGGATAAATATTACTATTGCATTCAGAGGCTCTGCAAGTGCAGTGTCTCTCCTGATTCCATTTTCCCTCCATTCCCAACCAGAAGATTCAAATGTGTGTGTAGAAGATAGGCCATTGATGTTAGTCAACTGGGGCTGGGCAGTGGTGGCGCACGCCTTTAGTCCCAGCACTTGGGAGGCAGAGGCAGGCGGGTTTCTGGGTTCAAGGCCAGCCTGGTCTACAGAGTGAGTTCCAGGACAGCCAGGGCCACACAGAGAAACCCTATCTTGAAAAACCAAAATCAATCAATCAATCAATCAATCAAAGTCTGGCAGGATATTATTCAACTGGAAATGAAGAAAGAAATTCTTGTTAAGGGGTTACAATGAACAACATTTGTAAACCCCCCTCCCCATCTTGTCCTTCTAGCAGGTTGCCCTGGTCTGACTGGTGGGAGGTTGGAGTGCTATTGTCTTACACAGTTGGCATATGGACTCTGAATGAAATTGTGGGGCATTCTTTGGGAATATTTCAGAGGTCAGGGAGCCAGGATGATCTAAGGCTTTCTCAGAGACCCTGATAAAAGGAAAAGCTACCTCTGTGTTCTTGACCAAATCAAAGTCTGCACTGGGGTCTGCGGCCAGGGCTTCAAAGAATCAAGGCTTTGATCAGTTCCAAGGCCACTGTGTGCTCAGTCTGTGACACACTTGAGATATTCCCTTGGTACACACTGTGTTCCCTTTGTACCATGGTGATTGATCAGCTTCCTGATAACTTTGTCACATTATTTGATAGTTTTCTGCTGACTCTATCCTATTTTCCTCCCTGAAAAACATATATACAAAAGCTGTGTTTCTTAATAAACTCACTTGGAATGAACCATTAGCTCATACAAGGCCTTCTGACCTGGGTTTTTCTTTAGTCTTTTTTCCTCTCCAGTCCTTCCCTGTCAGAAACCTGTAACTGAAGAATAGCCTGGCCAGGACAGAGAGGTAGAAGTGAATCCTTTAGGTGACAAGGGAATTGCTTGTTGAGGCACATAGTGGTAGACATAGCAGGTGGGAATTGGAGCCACAGACTCCTGTGTCCTGGAATCCTCATCGATGCCTTATTTTAAAGTCAAAAAAATGGACCCAGTCTTAATGATATGCATGTTCAGCTTTTAGGGAAAGGAAGAAAAAAATTCCAGAATTCCAGATCTAAAAATGTCTCTGCCAGAGCCATGTTATACAGTTAACTACATGAGAAGGCAAACATTTGCTAAAGAGAATGCCAAGTGAATCATCTTTTCCATTCTTGCTCAATTCTTATTGGCCTGTGTACACATCATATTCTGAAAAAGTCATTTTCTCTTCTTTCCTTCTTTCTTTCTTTCTTTCTTTCTTTCTTTCTTTCTTTCTTTCTTTCTTTCTTTCTTTTTGGTTTTTCAAGTCAGGATTTTTCTGTGTAGCCCTGGTTGTTCTGCAACTCGCTCTGTAGACCAAGCTGGCCTTGAACTCAGAAATCCACCTGCCTCTGCCTCCCAAGTACTGGGATTAAAGGCGTGAGCCATCACTGCCCGGCGAAGAAGTCATTTTCAATTATGTCCCTGCACTATTTGAAAAACTTTAGGGTTATCTAACCTTACCATATGTGTGTTCTGTTTATTCCACCCCAAGGCATTCTTGAATTTGTTCTTGGAATTCATGATCCAATCTGTAACCTCCTTTCAGTACTCAGTCTCAAGGGTTCCTTCAAACCAACATTAGAACTCATGGTTTGGATTGGGCTTTTGACCTACTGAACACTGGTCATGTGATTAGGGTAAACTATATCCCCAAGAAATAGGTATTGTTACTCCTTTTTATTCACAGGGACACTGTGAGGAATAAGTAAAAATGAGAGCCCTTGTACTTCATTCTAAGTGTGTGCTTCCTACACAAGGCCTTTCAAGACATTCAGCATCTGTCACCAAGTTACTTAATCTAATACATCAAGTTCATACTCCCCATTAGCCAGGTTTATTGTGGTCATGTGTTAAATGAGCCTGTGAAAAGTCATAAAGGAATGGGTACATGTCTCCTGATAGACATCTGACATCTGTCCTCTTGGTGAGCTATTCTTTCCTGGGAATAAAGAACGGCTTCTACAAAGCGTATTTTCCAAATGACCATGACAAGAAGGGAGTTGAAGACATTGGAAAATCTTTATCACTAGCTCTTCATTCTGGTCAGGCTCATTGTCTGATACCTAGGACACAGGCTGATGCCCCTGATGCCAATTGGCTGCAGGGTGTTGACCCTAGGAATGCTCTCATGCTGATTGCCCCTTAGACCCCAAACTCTCTTTTCACCTGTTCAATAACCCAGTGTATCCAGCTCTGGCCAGGGGTTCAGCAGGTCTTGGAACTTACCTGGGTCGACCTGGAAGCAGGATAGAGAGAGGATCAGCAGCAGAAAGCAGTACATCTTCATGATTTCTCGACACCCCACAGATTAAAGACAGGGCTAGGGCTAGAAAGCTTAGCTCAGAGATGAAAAGAGCATAGGGTGCATCTGTCCTAATAGAGAGGTAGGCATAAGGAGGAGTGGCAGTCTAGGGTTACGGTCCAATGGCTAAACTTCACAGAGTGTATTCTCAGACTTCTCAAATCCAGAGGTCATTCTGTCTGTTTTCCTGGGTCTAGATTTTGCTCTCATCCTGGAAATGCTAATTGCCTCTTATCTAAACAGGACATTTAAATGTTCCATAGGAAGCACACAATTTTGTTCAAAGTATAGATACTCCCAAGGTTTTTAAACTTATAATAATTACACAATGGTTAGTTTTACTCATAGTTCGTATACCGGTTGTTTTCTAGTGCAGGACAGATACAGGCAGCAGAGGGAGATATTTTCCCCAGACTTTCAGGCTATTGTGATGTAAATGGCTCTATTTTAAAAAAGAACATTAGCTTCTGGTCTCCATCTGCACCTTGGAGCTAAAGCTGCTCCACAGCCCTCCAAACCCAAATTCTGCACAGGGGAGAGCTGGTTTCCCAGGAGTGCTCTCACTTCTAAGCCCAGAGGTGAGATCACCACTTTTGCTCCAATAATTGTCCCAAGAGGGATCTGCTAGGACCACAACAGGGCATGGAAACAGCGGAGGAGCTGGAGGTAGGATGCTTTCTGTCTCCATCTGCACCCCAGAGCTAAGGCTGTCCCACAGCCCTTCCCACCCAAATCCTGCCCAGGAGAGAGCTGGTCTCCTCAGGAGTGCCGGCACACCTAAGATCACAGGCTCACAGGCCCACAGGAGGGACAAGCTACAGTCAGAGACAGCAAAACCAACTGACACCAGAGATAACCGGATGGTGAGAGGCAAGTGCAAGAACCTAAGCAACAGAAAACAAGGGTATTTGGCATCATCAGAACCCGGTTTTCCTACCACAGCAAGTCTTGGATACCCTAACACACTGGAAAAGCAAGAGTCAGATTTAAAATCACATCTCAGGATGATGATAGAGGCCTTTAAGAAGGACATAAGCAACTTCCTTAAAGAAATACAAGAGAACACAGGTAAACAGGTAGAAGCTCTTAAAGAGGAAATAGAAAAATCCCTTAAAGAATTACAAGAGAACACAACCAAACAGGTGAAGGAATAGAACAAAATCATCCAGGACATAAAAATAGAAGTAGAAACAATAAAGAAAGCACAAAGGGACACAAGCCTAGAGATAGAAAACCTAGAAAAGAGATCAGGAGTCATAGATGCAAGCATCACCAAAAGAATACAAGAGATAGAAGAGAGAATCTCAGGTGCAGAAACCAGAGAAAACATTGAGATAACAGTAAAAAAATGCAAAATGCAAAAAGCTCCTAACCCAACACATCCAGGAAATCCAGGACACAATGAGAAGAGCAAACCGAAGGATAATAGGTATAGAAGAGTGAAGATTCCCAACTTAAAGGGCCAGTACATATCTTCAACAAAATTATAGAAGAAAACTTTCCTAACCTAAAGAAAAAGATGTCTATAAACATACAAGAAGCCTACAGAACCCCAAATAGACTGGACCAGAAAAGAAATTTCTCCCATCATACAATAATCAAAACACCAAATGCACAAAACAAAGAAAGAACATTAAAAGCAGTAAGGGAAAAAGGTCAAGTAACATATAAAGGTAGAGTTATCAGAATTACACCAGACTTCTCACTAGAGACTATAAAATCCAGAAGATCCTGGGCAGATGTCATACAGACTCTAAAAGAACACCAATGCCAGCCCAGGCTACTGTACCCTGCAAAACTCTCAATTACCATAGATGGAGGAACCAAGATATTCTATGACAAAAGAAAATTTACGAAATATCTTCTCACAAATCCAACCCTACAAAGGGTAATATATGGAAAATTTCAACATGAGGAAGGAAACTACACCCTAGAAAAAGCAAGAAAGTAATCTTTCAATGAACTCAAAAGATAGCCAGACAAACATAATTCCATTTCTAACAACAAAAATAACAGGAAGAAACAATCACTTTTCCTTAATATCTCTTAACATCAATGAATTCAATTTCCCAATGAAAAGACATAGACTAACAGACTGGATACATAAACAGAACCCAGCATTTTGCTGCATATAGGAAAAGCGCCTCAGTGAAAAAGACAGACACTACCTCAGAGTAAAAGGTTGGAAAAAAATTTTCCAAGTAAATGGTCCCAAGAAACAAGCTGGAGTAGCCAAAAGTTATCAAAAAAGATAAAGGAGGACACTTCATACTCATCAAAGGAAAAATCAATTGATGATTTTCAAAGGAAAAACCAAGATGAACTCTCAATTCTGAATATCTATGTTCCAAATGCAAGGGCACCTACATACATAAAAGAAACTTTACTAAAGCTCAAAGCACACATTGCACCTCACACAATAATAGTGGGAGACTTCAACACCCCACTCTCAGCAATGGACAGATCATGTAAACAGGACCTAAACAGAGACACAGTGAAGCTAAGAGAAGTTAACCAAATGGATTTAACAGATATCTATAGAACATTTCATCCTAAAACAAAAGAATATACCTTCTTCTCGGCACCTCATGGTACCTTCTCCAAAATAGACCATATAATTGGTCACAAAACCAGCCTCAACAGAAGCAAGAAGAAAGAAATAATCCCATGCATCCTATCACATCACCACAAACTAAGGCTGGTCTTGAATAACAACAAAAACAACAGAAAACCCACATACACATGGAAGCTGAAGAACACTCTACTCAATGATAACTTGGTCAAGGGAGAAACAAAGAAAGACTTTTTAGAATTTAATGAAAATGAAGGCAAAACACACCAAAACTTATGGGACACAGTGAAAGCAGTGCTAAGAGGAAAACTCATAGCTCTGAGTGCCTACAAAAAGAAACTCGAGAGAGTATACACTAACAACTTGACAGAACACCTGAAAGTGCTAGAACAAAAAGATGCAAATATACCCAAGAGGAATAGACAGCAAAGAATAATCAAACTCAGGGCTGAAAACAACCAAGGAGAAACAAAAAGAATGACTCAAAGAATCAACAAAACCAGGTGCTGGTTCTTTGAGAAAATCCACAAATTAGATTAACCCTTAGCCAGACTAACCAGAGGGCACAGAGACAGTATCCAAATTAACAAAAACAGAAATGAAAAGGGAGATATAACAACAGAAGCTGAGGAAATTCACAAAATCATCAGATCCTACTACAAAAGCCTATACTCGACAAAACTGGAAAATCTGGATGAAATGAACAGTTTCCTAGACAAATACCAGGTACCAAAGTTAAATCAGGATCAGATAACCCATCTAAACAGTCCCATAACCTGTAAAAAATAGAAGTCATTAAAAATCTCCCCCACCAAAAAAAGGACCAGGACCAGATGGGTTTGGTGCAGAATTCTATGAGACCTTCAAAGAAGACCTAATACCAATACTCTTCAAACTATTCCACAAAATAGAAACAGAAGAAACTCTACCCAGTTTGTTCTATGAAACCACAATTATGCTTATACTTAAACCAAACAAAGAAAGAGACTTTCAGAGCCCAAAAGCTCAGAATACCTAATATACAACTCACAGACCACTTGAAGCTCAAGAAGAAGGAAGACCAAAGCGTGGATGCTTCAGTGCTCCTTAGAAGGGGGAACAGAATACTCAAGGGAGGAAATAACGGAGATGAAGTGCGGAGCAGAGACTGAAGGAAAAGCCATCCAGAGACTGCCCCACCTGCGCATTTATCCTCCATACAGTCACCAAACCCAGACACTATTGCGAATGCCAAGAAGCGCTTGACGACAGGAGCCTGATATAGCTGTCTCCTGAGTACCAGCGATGGCCGCATGGATGATGCACGAGCTTCCTCCTCTGCGCGGCTGAGAGGGCGGAAGCAGCAGACGGATGCAGATGATGCTTCCTGATGCTTCCTGCAGAGGATCCAGGTTGCTCTAGGTCCCTTTTCTTATAGACTGTCTCACACTCTGTCTTGGACTGATTCTCTTAGGAATCATTTCCTGCCTCTCTTTCACTCCTGCTATCTGTAGATTAGTAGTAAGATCTGGAAAGTCAACTAGATTCAATGTCATTTATGGGCAAGTGTGTTTCGTAGCACATCTGTGTCCTCCTTTGTCTCTCACAAGAGAAAGTGCAGTAGTGCCTGTATCTCTCAGTAAGGCCGAGGCTGATCTTCTGGTGTGGTTTGTCTTAGCATACTCTTCTATTCTTCCATTGTAGGATGAACTTTTAACAGACAGGCCTCATAACAGTCTGGTGTTGTTTTATATTGGTGATTATATTCAGAATTGTAAAAATGATCCAGGCTTTTTATTTCTTTAATGTCTAGTTACTAGGAAAAAGTTTTAATAGAGATGGAATACAGATAATGTTTTAAGCCATATTGAGAGATCCATACCACACAATGTCAAGTAACTGTGTTCATCATGATATACTTTCCTTTTGAAATAGCATATGAATGTGGTGAGAATATATTCACCAGATATTTCCTAGAAGGGGGTGTATAGGATGAAATTTTATAGTCCTGTTGTGTTTAAAAACTGTCCTCATCTTGCATTTATATGGAAAGTTTCCAGTACCGGGTATGATTTCTTTCCAGCTGGCTCAGATTTATGTCCAATTCTAGAGATTTTGTTTACCACCAAGACATGAATGCCATCTTCATGAGTATCTTTCAGGGATATATCTAACCTGAAAGACTCTTCTATTAAAACTAATTTTCACAGTACTAGGAGGTATTATGCAAGCTGTCAAAGGGGGAAGCAATCAATAGTTCTACCTAACAACAACAACAACAACAATAAAACATACATGTAATGCGTGTTCATCAAATCCACCACAAATCCATTCCCCTGGAATTCATCTTAAAACCCATCGACCACTTTGTCTTCCCTTTGAACATTTTGACCTTTGTGTGTTTATTTAAGAAAAAAAAAACACTCGGTTTACTTAATGCTCCCTGTATGTATATGGGTATAGGGCCATCTTCTACAGTATGGGTATGGAAACCATTT